TAGTAGTAGTAGTAGTAGTAGTAGTAGTAGTAGTAGTAGTAGTAGTAGTAGTATCAACATGATGATGATGATGATGATGATGGTGGTGATGATTGGTTGATTGGTTTGGGTTTGTTTTTTTAATCACGTTATTGGAGAAGCCCATTGGAGCTAAACATTGAACATATTTTATAATAACGCACAATTTCAAATGCTCAAATGTCCACCAACTTTTTTTCATTGTTTCTTATCATACTTACAACAACGATATTAATGATGATGATGATGATGATGATGATGATGATGATTACGATGCTGATTACGATGACGATGATTACGACGATGATGGTTACGAATACGATGATGATGACGATAATGGTGATGAGATAAAATCATCATCATTATTATTACTACTATTATTGCCCCCCCCCTCCTTATGCACATACGTCGAAGTGACGTCGGTATCCTAGTGGTTAGGCTACCGGACCCGTAATCGTGAGGTAGCGGGTACGGGGGTTCGAGCGTCAGCTCGGTCCGACGTTGTGTCCTTGGCAAAGACACTTTACTCGAATTTTCCGTTTGGTTCAGGTCCTTACGGAGAAGAACGTTAAACTTGGAGGTCCGGCATCTTAAATAACCTAATAGTGTTGATTAGGGCGTTAAACCTATAACCACGACGCGGTGGAATCAGGCGCTGGTTAATTTTTGGGTATGTGGGGTTATTGGTATCATCTTAACGCCTGCTCAATTGACTTGCTTTTGGTGAAAAAAAATACCAATCTTTGTTGAATAGAAGTCGAAATATTTGCGATTGAATGAGGTCGGGGCCGCCTGGTTTCAGAGTCAAAAGTAGCACACAAATATGGCCGCCCAAGGATGGTGATTTCCCTAAGCTTGAGAGTCCTTGGAAACTGAAAATTTACTTTTGTTGTGCCTTTAATCAATGTTTTTCGGTAAAATCAACACAGAAATGTGTTTTAAATTAACATAAATGGTGCAGAGCCAGAAAATAAAAATGGGGAAACAATGGTCAAACTGGAGGAAAAATGCCAATATCTTCGATTTCATTATTTTCATGAGCGCCTGATTTCACTACGACGCTCCAACATTTCATTTGACAGACGCCGAGCAGCCCCCAGGCGGGAGGAGGACCAGGTGTTCCCGGCCAAGCCTGTCAAACACACGCGCAGCTCGGACCGTGTCCGGACTGTGGACCTTGACAAAGGTAAGATTGAATTTTAAAAATAGAATTGATAAGTGTTTTACGGCGCTCGCAACTACACAAAGGTCATATAAGCGCGAGGGACACACCCAGGCGCGGTTCGTCCATAGAGCACGGTCGTTCAGTGCCGCCCCAAATATTTTATTGTTCTTTTACGTAAAGCACCCACAATAGAAAAATGAAAGACTCCAGAAACAAATACTAGTCAAATATTATATCAAAACAAGGTCCTTGCTGGCGCAGTAACTGTCATTTCTGTGTCTATAGCGTGGTAAAACAAAGCCAACGCGCTTTAACTAAACGTAATAGGAGATTCAACAATGATAACCTGACCTATAAATCGCTCTTTAGGACAACCCAAGCGATGACGACACTCGTAGCGAGTTTGGCGGTACAATAATATTAATATGTCGGCACATCTCAAATGTGCTCCTGCTAAATAGTGCCGAAACATAGCCCACTGTAGGCAGTCTAAAAATAAACGCTATAAACTGTACACTATTCTATGCCAAAATTATGTGAGCCCCGGAGCAATCCAGCAGAGTGCTCAAGCGAATTTCGATTTGTTTATATTGTCTTGCCACTAGGCTATTTTAAGTGACTCTGTGACCGTGAACCTGACAGAGGTGAACGTGGCATACTTAAGTCACCCTCCTATGAGTTGTGACTTTGAATGGTTTTGTTGTGGAGTGATGAAAGTTCTTACCGGGTACTTGAGTGTTCATTTCTAATGCAGTATGAACGAAATTGATGTTTAGCTAACAAACAGATTTAGTTCTAGAAATCAAAGCGACTAGTAAAATAAAAGCACGAGGTCCTCCCTCACAAACCCAAAGATCCTAAAATTATACTCCATCCCATTTACTGTGCCCTTGGCTATCTTCAGTTTGTGATAGTTTAATTAATAATTGTGCACGCCCACTTTTTTGCCCCCACGAGCCGTCCCGGGACACACCAAACAGTTTCAGTTGGTAGGACATTTTGAATTTTTCTCCGGGTGGCGGCCGAAGCTAACTCTTATCGATTTGAAAGGTGACACGACTAGTAGACAGATATACCCAGGGCACACTGCATTCATTCCCTTTTTTTAGGTTCAGTTTGAAGACCCATTTAGATAAAATGAACAAATATGATTAAAAATGTCATTGATTCCTACTTTTGTCCTCCTCCATTATCAATTTAAACACGTTTTAATGTTCTTCCGCTGATTCTTACATCATTTTTATCTTCACATATATGTTAAAGCAAAGCATGTTTGTACCCTAATTAACCTATATTTTAATGTATTTTCACTTATTCATTAGTTCTGTCACTCCTCCAGATGAAGGCGACATAATCTTACTTTAAGTGATTTATTCTTTCTTTCGTTCCCCCACATTAGGGTGATCAGTTCTTTCGAAGATTTATGTCTTTTTCTGTCAGTCCTTGAGATGATGGCGGGACATTCTTTCAATGATTCATTCTTTTTGCCATTCCTCCACATAAGGACGGTGTGTTCTTTCAATGATTTATTCGTTTTGTCCTTTTTTCAGATGAAGGCGGGGTCTTCAAAGCCAAGCAGAACAATAGGACCACAAGAGGGGCGAGGGAGGTACAGGACACTAGACACACTCGTACTGAGCTACCTGTCGATCAGCGGGAGGCGAGGGAGGTGGAGGTGAGTGAGAGACACAGAGAGAGAGAGAGAGAGAGTGTGTGAGAGAGAGAGAGAGAGAGTGTGTGTGTGTGAGAGAGAGAGAGTGTGTGTGTGTG